TCCCTCATCGGGGACACTGGGTGATGGTTGGCCTGGGGTTCTTCCCTCATCGGGGACACTGGGTGATGGTTCGCCTGGGGTGCCTCCCTCATCAGGGACACTGGGTGATGGTGGGCCAGGTGTCCCCTCCCTCGTCATGGTTCAGGGATCCTGGGTGATGGTGGTCCCCGAGGTAGGTCCCCTGTGCCTGCCCACCTCACCTCGCACTCATAATGGCCCAGGTCGTCCTTGCTGGCTGTCAGGATCTCCAGCACCATCAGACCACTGCGGGGCTCACTCAGGGTTCGGTACTTGCTGCTGGGCGTTATCAGGGCCCCATCCTTGTACCACCTGCAGCCAACCCCAGGGGGTGAGGAGGGCCTCCCCAGATTCCTCCACTGGAGACTCTCCTCTTGCCCACCCTGCAGGATCAGACTTCCATCCAGAACCCACGTGCTCCTGACACCACCCACCCAACCTCCAGCGGGTGTTGCCTTCCCTGCAGCGGGAGCCATGTTTAGCATCAGGATTAGCCCACCCCTCAGGCAGCCAGCTTGCCGCCTACCTCCCCTCCCGTGCCCCGGGTGCAAGCTGCCCAGCCCACCTGATCTGAGGGTGTGGGGCACCTTCAATGGTGCAGGTGACTTGCGCATCCTCTCCCTCCACAAAAGGAACTGCCCGGACCTTTTTCACAAATCGTGGGGGTACTGTGGGGCCACAGAGCAGGGTAAGGGAAACAGACACAGACACCATGATGGAGCAGGAGCCTACCCCCACTCATGAGTGCCCCAGACGTCATCGGCAGTCCACCCGCAGACCTGTGCCCCCCAACGGGGCCACTGAGGTGGAGTGGGGTCCGGATGCCTCCTACGCCGGCCTCCCTCCCAGGGTGGGCTCACCTTGCACCAGGATCTTGCCCAGCGTGCTGGCATTGCCGGCGGCACTGGCCGCAAAGCACATGTACTGGCCGGAGTCCACGCCAGTCAGGTTGTCCAGGATGAGGGCACACGAGCCATCGGGGTCTTCAATGAGGATGTGGTGGGGATCCACCTCCACTGGCTTCCCATCTGCAAAGGAAGGCAGCGCTGTCACGGAGGGTGCCCTGCCAGTGACAGGAGGCTGGCCTGCCTGGGGGGTCGCAGTCTGGGGGCAGTGATGGGGGGGCCATCCCTGGAGCACAGACCCCTGGTGGGGAGCCTGGCTGGTCATACTGACCGGGTCCTGTCCCTTTCCCCAGACCTCTGGGCCCACCGTGTGGCCTTGGAAAGTAGGCTCATAGCAGGGTTCCTGCACAGCATGCCGCCTGAGACCATGCCCAGAGGGATGATGCTCTGAGTCCATGGTGGGGCCCCATCGCACGGGGCGTGCTCCTCATCCTGGCAGATCGCAGTCTTCGGGGGGCTCCCTGTGGGCTCTCCCACCATGACGCTGCTTTGGGGCACAGCGGCTCTTGCCTGTACTGTGACGCCATGTGTCAGCATCTGCCGACCCTCACACTTCCTCCCCTCCACCCCTCAGGAGGGCAGTTTGGTCACCGGACACACAGCTGTCCGCAGACACAAGTGTTCCCCTCCAGGGCGCTGACAGCATTGAAGGGGCAGAGGACTCCCCACCCGACCGCTCCAGGGTGAGGTGTGCCCTCCTTTCCCCTCGGATACAGACACGGCCCGGCCGGCTCGCCTTCCTGGGGGCAGCCTGGTCAGAAGCAGGGTGGTCCCGGGGGCTTGTTCTTGCTTCCAGGCAACTCTCTGAACTGCCCTGGATTGGCCGTCCCAGGCACAGGTCTGGCCATGAGGGGATCGTGGGATGGGCAGGCGCACTCCCAGGTTCTGTGCGGGGGGGGGGGCGGGGGAGCAGCCGGGAGGGACCTCCCAGACCCCAGGACGTGGGGGCAGGGGGGCCTCCTTCCAGAAGAAGACCCCAGGGCAGAGGAGGGGGCTCGCCCAAACTGCCACTGGACACCAGCTGCTGTGTCCACCGGCTCCGGCCTGTGGCTCTGACCGTGGGACCCAGGGAAGGCCTGGCAACGCCCCCAGGTGTCCTCAGCAGCCCTGTCCTTAACCAGGAGGGACACACAAATGCCCCCAGGGCCTGACCACCCTGGGACGGCTCCTTCAAGACCAGGGCTGGATTCGGGTATTCGGGCTGCACTGGAGCCCTGGAAACCGACTTGCCAGCCCAGGGCAGCCCAAGTGACCCCCAGTAAGAGTGTCTTGGTTTACCTGGGGGCCTTGGACCCCATCTGTGGTGATTTAGGTTTGGGGCTTAGGGCCACATGGCAGCAGCTTGAGCTCTGTAGAGTCTGTAACAGACGTCAGCTGTGCCTGCGTGAGCGACCCCCCAACAGGTGCCCCAGACACAAGGTTCAGAGGAGCGTCCCCGGGGGGCTGGACTGCACTGCTACGCATCCACGTGGGACAGACATGAGGTCTGCAGGACTCCACCGGAGGGGAGGGCAGAGGGACACCAGGACCCCGCCTGGACACCCAACTGGAAACCTCCCCATGCACCTCCTCCTGCTCCTGTAATAAGCCAGACCCTGAGTGCACACTCTGCTGAGTTCTGTGAGTCCTTCTAGCAATTCACTGAACCCACAGCTGGTCGTGGGACCCCCAAACTGGGCGTCAGAACTGGGGGTGGCCAAGGGGGCCCCCAAACAGCAGCTGCTGTCAGAACTGGGGGTGGCCCTGGGGACCCCCAAATGGTAGTTGGGTCAGAACTGGGGGCAGCCCTGGGGACCCTGAACGGCAGTTGAGTCAGAAGCGAGGATGGTCCTGGGGACCCCCAAACAGCAGCTGGTGTCAGAATGGGGGGTGGCCCTGGGGATCCCCAAATGGCAGTTGTGTCAGAAGCAAGGATGGTCCAGGGGACCCCAAACAGCAACTGATGTCAGAATTGGGGACCCCCGAACTTTGTGGCTCCCATCACATCCAGAGCCAAACCTGAGACCCTACCACAGGGCGGGCCTCAGAGTCCACCCTGCCCTCTCCTGGCCACCTGGCTGGCCCCCCAGAGCTCCTGCGCATCTGCCAGAGAGGCCTGCCAGCTAACCCTCCATCCTCCTCATTTCTCTGGCTGGCCACACCACCTCCCCACTTTGTTTGTCCACTGGTTTGCCATCAGTCTAGCCCCCTACACGGCCAGCACCCTTGGGCGGGGCCTCTTTGCCGCTGCGTCCCTGGTACCTGGAATGGGGTGCTAGCCCTCGGGACAGACTCGTCCAACAAGACAGCCAAGGAACGAGATCTGGAGTGGACAGGGTCACTGCGTTTGAATCACGGGGGCACACCCCCTGCTCTGAACTACCTCGTCTAGCTGTGCTCCCAGCCAGGCAGAGTCAACAGCCACTGGGAGAGGATGCCCGTCCCTCGTGCCCCCTGAGGGCCCCCGACCAGGCCCAGTTCCCTCTGGAAGGCTCTTGTGGGTGCAGTGTCCACATCCCTCCGTCTGCAGCAGCCTACCTTTGTACCAGCTGACAACGGGCTTGGGGGTGCCCGTCACACGGCAGGCCAGCTTCACGGTCTCGCCCAGCTCTGCTGTGCAGTCCGCCAGCTCCTCTTCGAAATCTGGGGGATCTGGGCAGACACACGCACAGACTCTGAGCTCCTGGTGGGTGGGACGGCAGTGCCCCCATGTCCTTGCTCAGAAGACCCAGCGTCCAAGGGCACGGCTGTTACAGACACCGCCCCTTTCGACCTTCCGTTCAGGTGGCCCTTCCCGTCCCTAACACAATCTGGGCACCTGTCCTGTGCCGGGGGGGCCCCTGTGTGAACCCTGAGGCTTCCCTGCACTCAGGTCAGGGTCAGCCCTACAGCCCAGCGCAGGCTCGCGAGAGGCTGAGCTGACTGTGCCCCAGATGGAGCCTATCCTTTGTGCGTCCTGGGGCTGGGACACGGGGCTGGGACACGGGGCTGAGGCTTGGGGGGCCAGAAAGGCTCAGGTGCCGAGTGTGACCTCCCCGCCTGCCAGGGGCAGGAGCACTCACGCCACACGGGCCGGGCCAGGCGCTGCTGGATGCTGCAGACCTCCTTCACCCACGAGTTCTTGGTGATGACCGTGCGCGCCTGCAGCAGGTACTTGCGCACCGAGTCCTCCCGCTCGTGCCAGATCTCGAAGGCACGGTCGTCACCCTCCACCCGGTCGTTCAGGTCGATGCTGCTCAGCTGTGGGGGGCAGGGAATGCAGGCTGACTGTCTGGACACAGGCTTCCGCCCGCCCGCCCCCAGGGCGCACGCGCACCTTCATCATGTTCCGGAAGACGTAACTGAAGGTGTCGGTGCGGGAATCCCTTCTGGTCTTGCAGACAACCAGGTGGTGGCGGAACAGGAAGACGTGGCGGTGGTGGCCCTTCCAGGGCATCCGCGCGCCCGGCGCCCCCTCCCACACGATGAAGTGGCCCTGCAGGGAGCAGTCAGCACCAGCCTAGCACCCCCCCCGCCCCCCCGCGGCCCTGCCCAGGCGCCCCGCCCATGTCCCCGTCCCGACCTGGCGGATGGGCTCGCCCAGGGCCTCCAGGGTGCCTGGGTAGTTCTCCATGAGTGACACGTGCAGCTGGTTCTCGGCGCGCTGCGGCAGGGCCGACACGAGCGCGTAGGCCTGCTCCAGCAGTGCACAGTTCTGCCCGTTCCTCGCCTTGTTGCGGATCAGCTCCTGGGGGGCACAGCGTCAGGCCACGTTCCCCGCTGCCAAGCGACGAGGCCGGGGAGGGGGCCTGGCGCGCACCCCTACCTTGAGCAGGGCCTGGTACTGCTGGATGCGCTGCACTGGCCGCTCCAGGAAGTGCTGCAGGGGTGGTGGGGGCGGCTGCGATGGGTCCGCTGCGGACAGCACCTCCTCCGTGTATTTCTGTGGGAGCCGCGGGGCGGGGTTGGGGACACGCCAGGGGGGGGGGGGGGGGGGGGGGGGGGCGGGGGCATTGGGGTGCGCGCGCGTTCACACGCACACGCGCGCACCACTCTCCTCCCCCGCCACCTGCACCCTGCCCCGCCGCGCACACGCGCGTACGCACACGCACACGCGCACGCACCGCCCTCCTCCCCAGCACCCCTGCCCCGCTGTGTCACCATCTGAAGGGGAGCACGGGGCTCCGGGGGCTCTGCTTTTCTCAGTGAGCCGCGGGGCGCGGGCTGGGGGGCACCTTGTAGAAGTCCTGCACAGCCGTGCTGACCACCGCAGACTCGGCCTGCACGCGGCCCACCAGAAACTCCAGGTACTTCTCAAAGGCCTCCTGGTTCTTGATGAAGCACATGGCCACATCGTCGTCTGTGTCACAGTTCTGCAGCTCCTGCTGGAAGCTGCAGTAGAGGACATGGTGGGCAGGGGCGGGTGAGGCCTCAGCTCTGGGACGGAACAGGCTACCCCCAGGGCTGGGCTGCATGGCTACTTGGAACTGAGTGCGCTGGGCTGCGGGGGCTACGGGTGTGTGGGGGGGCATGTGCATGTGTGTGCCTGCATGCAAGGAAGTGCAGGTTCATGCAGCCGTGCCCACTCGTGCCCACCCGTGCAGGAGTGTGCGTGTGAATGTGGGCATGCACGCGTGCGGCTGGCATGCATGTGCGCACGCCCGCGGGCCCGCCCACCTGCTGTGGAAATGACTGATGTCCTGCACGTTGCGGAAGATGACTGCCTTCTGGCTGGCCACGGCCGTGGGCACGTGGGGGCATCGTTCCAGGTGCTGAATGTGGTGGTCCTGGAGGAACTGCAGCTTGCCCACAAAGGCCTGCTCGGAGCTCAGCAGCTCCTGGATGATGGAGCTGGGAGAGGATGAGGTGAGGAGAGACCCAAAGGCTAGCGAAGCCCCCCGCACAGCCCGCCCCCCGTTGTCAGAAAGAGCCTGGTAGAGTGGTAGAGGGAGGCACCCCCACCACCATCCCGTGACCACCACCACAAAGCCGCTCACGCCCCCACCTGCCGGACCCTCACCTCAGCCTTGTCTTGTATTCATCCTCAGACACGGCCTCCCCTGGGAACTCGGGGGCCTCCGTGGGCCCCCACTCAGGTGACAGCTGGTGAGAAAATGGGGGAGGGGGGCAGGTGGCCTCGGCTCTGGCCTCACAGGGGACGACAATCCCAGGACCCCACCCCAGCCGTCCAGTACCTTGAGCCGCTTGTCCAGGTAGGCAGGGGACACCCAGCCTTGCCTCGAGGGGCTGGACTTGGTGGGCTTGGTGCGCACAAGCCAGCGCAGTGCGTGGGCCGAGTCCAACACCTCCACGTACTGGCCCTCCCGCAGCGAGATGGCGTCCTGCTCGGCCCCCAGGGGCAGGTAGTCAGCTGTGACCACGTAGATATCAAAGATCTGGGGGAATGATGCTGACTCAGACCAGGGCAGGGGGCCAGCCTGACCCACGGAGGCCCCAACACCCCCAAAGGCCCCAGAGGGGTGTGGGACCTGGACAGGAGCCAGCCAGGACTCCCAAAGCCCAACAGCCCCCAAAGACCTCAGAGGGGTGGGGAACCCAGACGGGGGACCAGACTGACCTCCCAAAGCCCCAACAGTCCCCAAAGACCCCAGAGGGGCAGGGGACCCGGACAGGGGCCAGACTGACCTCCCAAAGCCCCAACAGCCCCCAAAGACCTCAGAGGGGTGGGGGACCCAGATGGGGGGCCAGCCTGACCCATGGAGGCCCCAACAGCCCCAAAGGCCCCAGAGGGGCGGGGGACCCGGACAGGGGCCAGCCTGACCTCCCAAAGCCCAACAGCCCCCAAAGACCCCAGAGGGG